GGGGAGGCCGCCGCCGCCCACCGCCAGGCACCAGCGGCCGCCCCCCGCCTCCGGAGGAGCCTGCCGCTCCCCACCAGCAGCCCTGTGAGCAGCTCCACACGGCGCCTTCGAAAAGCTGCTGTGAGGTCCGGCCTGTCTGCATTCGGTGCGGAGGAGGCACCTGAAATGATTTGCTTCTGCCCAGTTAGGCCAAGTCTCCGGGTTTGCATCCCGGTGTCACCGACCGAATCGCAGCCAGAAACAGGATGGCAAGAAAGTCCTTTCGATAAGGGACTCCAAACACAACCAGCTTGAGGGGCACGAGGCCTGGGGCAAGGAAGCAATTCACCCTCTGTTGTATGAAGCTTCTGCAAAGACTCATATTTGGATGTTTACAGCACTTCTGCCTGTGCAGAGACCTTTACTGAGGAATGGCCTATTAAAAACAAACAAACTTTTCCCAGATCTTAAACACAAGTCTTCTAAATGTTCACTCTTAGTAAATTTGTGGCTCCTAACAATAACAATGCACTGTGATGTTGTTCACCTGTCAAGACCCCATAATAACTACTACTAACAGTAGCAGCATTCAAGGAGATTGGAGTAGGGGAAAATGTCCTTTGACATAACTCAGGAAGTCATTATCCCCACCAGAGACTTCAGAAGTCATTCATGTTGACACAAACCCCTGGCTCTTAATATCAGCCATCTGAAACAGTCCATTTTTAATTTGTAAATGCACATTCAGTTGAATACTGCCTGCCATCAAGACTGCCTTATCTCAGACATGGGTGGGAATGGAACAAGCCACACGACTCTAAGTAAAACATATGAAATATTGAACACTTTCAGTTGAAACTGGAAAGTATCAATTGAATGTCATACCAATTCAAGCAGAAAAACATGGTAAATGTCTCTGGTCTACAGTCATCGGGCTTTGTCTGAGTTGAGGCCAAGAGGAGTTCGTACCCAGGGATGCAGCCAAGCAAGCAGTGAGCACAGGTCAGGGCTGGACGGGCAAGGTCAAGCTGTGCCCAGAATCACTTAGCTAAAAACATGGTTTATAAATGCCTTGACACTGCCCTATCTGATGAGGCATTACGCTTCTCAGAGCACCGGTGTTGAGAGGCTGGACTGATTTAGCAGTAAAAGTAATCATGCATTTACTTCAAGCTAACAAAGGAAATGGCTCAAAATTGTAAAGGCCTCAAGGGAAGTAAAAGAATCATCCAAAGAGCTGTATCTTAGTGTACATGAAGTAAGCCTGCACTTCACCTTCTGCCAGCTACTCTTCATGATGCTGTTTGATAACAGATATATAAATTCACATGTTTGATAATGTAAATATAACATTACATAAAGCTTGATAAAACAGTAACTTCACAGCTGTTTTCATGGTCAGTCCCACAGGCAGGAGGGCAAGAGCTCCTCCTAACCTAGAGTCAGCTTGGGTTCATGGGCCCGGAAAAGTTGACAGCAACATACAAATAGTAAAGAATAAACCAGCTGATAAGACGACTCCTGAAAAGTTGAAAGATCTATTTTGAATCACTAACCTTTGTTACTATTAGCAAAGCCAGACCTCAGTATGTTTAATGCCTGCCTTGCAGAGCGCTTTAAAATCTCCACCAAGGGAAAAACATGCCGTGGACTTTCTGCCAAACAGAAGAAGTCACTTCACTTCTCCTTTGCCTCAGGTCCTAAAATTCTGTATTGCTGATACAATGAACCATTCAGGGAATGTGTCTATTACTCATTTTTAGGAGCTGCTGTGAATTGCAGGAAGGCTGCCCAGCACTGCTTTCCGATGGAGGCACTGCTAACACTGCTAACTTACAAGACTCTCAAAGCAGAGAAAGTCACTAAACCACAGTGTCTCCCATTCAGATGGAGCAACTTCATACAACGCAATAAAAATATACCTCAAATCAGTTTTTTTTCCAATTGTTTGTAAGGATGTCAGACTGTAAGGGCACATAATCATGAGAAGCAGAGGCCAAGCGTTAACACCAGGTCTTAAAAAGCACAGTGCTTTAGGTACTCAGAGAGACAAAAGAGGAGGAACAAAGAAAAGTTGTGTCTTTGTGGCTGAGGGCTCCTTTTTAATTAGAGCAACAAGGAAGGAAGAAAGAAGCTCCCCATGGAAAAAGGTGTATGGACAACTATAATGATTTAGAAGTGAAGTCACAAACAGGAAGGATTAAGACTGGGCTGTTTCTAGGACTCCAACCTATCTCTAGAGTGCTTAAGAGTGGGGAAAAACAAAGGCAGGGAAATCCACAGAAGCATGTCCACACTTTTATCTAAATGTCGGTATCTCCCTTACTAGATATGGGGAAAAACAGATAGGGTTTTGGATCCTCTAAAAGAACACCTGAAGTGTTTGCTTCCCCTGTCTCTTAAGAAGTTATTTATAAACCGTAGAGTACGTGGTGGGTGGAGCTTTGGAAAATAGGATGCTGGAAATCAGTGGGAAACCTTGGATGTTAACATGTACAGCATGATCCCAATCCCATGAATGGGACAGTCTGAGGTTATATGTCCAAAAACTATCACATAAGCCAAAGGAAAAGACAGGTCTCTGGTTTCCTCAGATGAAGAGATGTGCAATAATACCAGTGTCTACTGTGAAATACAAAGTGTACAGCTGAGAGAGATTTACCACAGCTGTAAGAGGGAATACTACTCTTTCTCCCTGAACAGCCAAATGTAGTAGATCAGGGACCTCTGTGGCATTAGATTTGAGATATTTGAATACATATTAATAGCAAGTTCTAGTGGAGGAGAGGGAGCTGGTGCTGGCGTGGGAGCAGAGAAGGGAGCATCGGGGTGGGGAAAGTAATTTGGTACCAGTGACAAGTGTAAATATGTAACATGTTTGGAGCCATGTGACTTCCTACCCATTCCCAATTTAGCCCAGTGCCTAAGAGGCATGATCTGTCCCTTCATGTTTAGCTATTTTTAATGTGTGCAGAATTTGCTCTTTGTCTTCCCTCGTCTGCCAGTGTCTTGAATTCATTTGTCTTGATAGTCTTAAGATTTGGGCTTACTGGGACAAGCAACATCTACCCTATGGGCTCAGACCTTTGAGGTGTTAGAGTATTTCCTGCTCTTAGGAATGATCTCGTTAATCTCTGTAGATGATTTCAGCATGGGTTTGTTCGAGAGCAAGAGCCTTGAGTAGGGGACTACCATTGCATTGACAGGAACAGCGTTCCCACCTCTCCCAGTGGATCCAGTACACCGACTTTATTCTGTATCACTCAATCAAGACCCCTGTCACCTCTCCCCAGCCTACCTCAGCCTTGGCTACTCAGCTATGTAGTTACACTGTGAGCCCTCTCCAACACAGTTCAACAGGTGGAGTTTGGCCAAGCTTTGAAGCATGAGTTGCTTCTCACCCATTTACCACATTTTGAAGCTGGTGGGGACAGAGGGCTCTTGGTGGCACTCCTCAGCACCCGCTGCCCTGCTGTCCCCATAATGCAGCCTCTGGCACAGCAGGGTACCTTAGCTCTAGAAGGCAACCCAGGGGACTGAGATGGGCTCATGTGGGACAAAACACTGCCCTGGCCCACCCATGCCACATCTGACCGCTCCAAATAGATTTATTCCAACATCCTCCTCACCAAGTCTAATCCTCTTGCTGTTTTCGGGAGGCTCACTGGGTAATGGGAGAAGGTTATCACTAAAAATGTTCAGATGGGTTAGCTCTACCATTTGCAAAACATACTCAAATAGCTTGAATTATTGATAAACATTAATAAAGTAAATGGGGAATGCACTTGGTACATGCTCTGTGAGCAGTTTCGCAGCAACAGACGATATTCTGCGTTGGTTTTTCTGTTTTTATCTTCTATGTTTCTGTGATTCAAGCTATGTGGGAAGAAGGGAGAATGTCCATGGCCATACATCAAAGCTTCAGAAACAAATCATATCTTCAGTCAATCCATTTTACTGAATAAAAAGTTAAAAAAAAATAAATCCATGATTTACTTTAAAACATTTCCTTCCTTTTTCCTATGTCTTGTATTTATAGTTTGTTAGAGTTTTTTTGACAAACCCAGATTTTAAACCAGTGTTTATCATCATATATAAGCATGTCACATCTACTAGAGCTAGGATATAAAGGCTTTGGCTTTATTTTTCTACACACAAAGTATGAACATTAATTATTAACAATTAAGCAACTTATGAAAAACTCTGTGCACTTGCCTTGTTCTCTGCAAAATCAAACCATTATTTACCAGATGCATTTTCAAGTTTACTTGAAAAATACTCAACAGAACTAGAACAATTCTGCTTCCATTTATCTTCAATCCAAACACTAAATACAGGAAAAAGACTTCTCTTTCTGTTAGATGTCCAAATTTGTCAGCAAAATTAAGATCCCTGAGATGCAATAAAATAAAGAGAACTTTGTAGGTGAATGGTTTAATTTTACCACACTGAAAGAAATATTTTTCTAAAAATATATTTTTTAGAAAAGACAGGTAAACCTAATCTCATGAACTTGAAAGGCTTGAAGTGACAGCTATAGTTCATTAAAGTTGCCTGGTGAGCAGTGAATCTAATGAAGATTGTTTTCCTGAGGATTTATGATCCTTTGTTATTTACTGCTCCCAAGGACAAGTAATCCCCGTTTCCTCTAAACTCTCATGACCATTCCTACCCCTCAGGACACGAGTGTTGCTCACCGGCACTTTCAGTTTCCTTTAATGTACAATGCAACCAACCTGTACCACCATCTCCACAAGAACTCTTAATTTCCCCAGGCCCCTGCAGTTGTCTAATCAAGTTTTCCTGCTCACTTCCATGCACCCT